AAGCTACAAAAAGAAAATGGCCACAGTTCAGCCAAGACCAGCAAGAGATTCTCAGTTATGCTGGTCACGGTTGCCTTTTGGCAAGAGGCAACTGGACTTTCTAGTTTTTCCACTGAAGACGTTTCGCTTCTCATCCAAGAAGCTTCTTCGGCTCTGGCTGGATGGGGGGCAGTGGAAGGATTGATGTTCCTTGCAGACAGCTGATCGTTTGCATCCTTTTAGAAGATTGTTAAGGCCACTTGGAGGTTTATCTGTGTCCTCAGGGTTACAGCAGGGACAAATGTAGATGGATCAAAAAGAGCTATGAAACGTGCCTGCTGAGCCTCCAGTACGATATATGGAGATATACACACATCCAGGTTTTGCTCTCAGGTGTGATGATCAAGGGCAGGTACACCTGTGAACATTGAAGGGGTCTGGTGCCTGGGCTCTGGGAGGTGGCATCTCTCTGTTGCAACTTGGCAGAGCTCTTGAGGGAAAAGCTTTTTTCTTCTTCCTTCCTGGAGATTCCGCAGTTTTATTTCTTTTATGGATTTATTAGGCCAGGTGGTTTTTCTTGCAGACATTTCATGACACAGCTGGGTCACATCATCAGCATAGTTTACTTTATTGTCATTGTACCTCACACAACAAAATTAAATGCCATTTTGAGTGTACATTACACATTTAAAAAAAAAAAACCCACACATCCTTGATGGTTAACATTTTCAGCACTGAATGCCCGGAGTTCGCATGCGCTTTCCCCAAATACAATATGCGCACATCCCCACGCGTGCGCCCTCCCTCCACACATGCTCCCTGACCCACTTGCCCATGTGCCCTGATTCCCGGCATGCGCCCTGCTCCCCCGTGCATGCGCAGCAGAGACCTGAAGACCAGCTGGCTAGCAGGAGGTGCATGCATGCGCGGCTGAGCTGAGCTGGGGCGATGGCTCGCGTCCCCACAGAGAGCACTCTGTGTGCCACCTCTGGCATGCCTGCATAGATTCGCCATCAGGGTTCTATACAATTGAATTGAAAACCCCTGATACCGCATTAATGTTGCACAATACAGTAGACTTCAATAGAGCTACAGCCCTGGGATAGAAGCTGTTTTTCAGCCTGTTTGTCCTTGTTTTTATTATTATCCTGTATCGTCTGCCCGATGGTAATAGTTCACAAAAATGGGGAGGTGCTCAGGATGAGATGGATCTTTGAGGATGTTTTGAACTTTCTTTGAACAATAGTTGGCTCATGGAACGTCTGCTACCAACTCAAGAGAGCACCCAGGACTCCACAGGTCTTTCTGATCTCCTGATCCTGTGGTATGGATGGGACACTCTACATTCAGCGTGGTTCTGCCCACCCAAGGAGCAAAGAATTGTCAGAGAGATGTATGCCAAGGGTGTATGTTTTTTTTTTTTTCAAAAGCTTCTTGGATGAGAAGCGAAACGTCTTCAAGGAAAAAACAAAGCCTAGTTGCCTTTTGAAAAAAAACACCTTTGGGACAACCATGACGCACGGGCGACTTGGGATTAAGGCTGCAAGGTGATGGTCCCTCCTTAAGGGATAAAAGCCAGCTGAGAAACCAGAGTTCTTTGCAGGAAGCAAAGAAGTTTTTGCACTCAAGCCTTTTGTGGAAGCTTGGACTCTCTTGCTTGGTGTTTGGAGACTCTTTGTATTTGAGATACTTCGTGGCAACTTTATCTCGTGTTGTTGGCAGCCTTTGCACGACCTTGGCAAGGCTTGTTCTTATTAGAGACAATGAGTTTGAAAGAGCCTTTTAACCGGGAAGGAACAGAATTCATAAAGAATCATTAAAAGGTTGTGCCGTTACCCCTGTTTCGTGTTTGTTTCCTTGGAACAAGGTTTGGGTCAGAACAGTCAGAGTAAGAGGGCTGCTATTACTAGTAGGGCGTTATTCATTAGTATGATTTGAACAACTGCAAAAAAACCACCCCCCACCCCCCCAAATAAGCTATCTGCTTTATTTTTTTAAAAAAGGAAGAACTGGCGTTTGGCAGCTATTAAATCAATGTTTTCGGTTATTTTCTTTCTTGGTCCTGATATT